ACCTAAACAAGAAGTGCGGATCTCTCCCAAGACTTTTAAAACTCCTCCATTTTATTACTACACTTTTAATTTTATTAAAAGCCAGTACAATCCAAAAAACCAAAACTCAAGTTGTTCAAATTCAAAGAAAAATTCAGAACAACAATCGTTCTTTTCAATATGAAAATAACTAATAAAGTGAGATATAGAATCAAAGAGATCTTGAAGAAAAAGGGAAACAAAAAGCGATGATTACCATAGTCGGGGCTTGTTTGTGGATTATATACGAATGAAGGATTAGTCGTGTTCCCTCTCTCTTCTTCGTCAAAAGTTCAATGGAGAGAAGCGACGACGGAAGTGGGGGCGGAGCCAGAAGAGGACGCTTGGAGTCTGAACGGTGCCAGAGGGACGGCCGGAAAGAGTTTAATAGAATGCGTTTATTTTTAGATGAAAGTCAGATGACAAATCTGACGGATAACCAGAGAAATTTTGAGGGACACTGATCTTACGGACGTTTAACGTCTTCTTCTTCTTCTTCTTCTTCTTCTTTTTCTTCTTCAGTTTCGTTGTCTTCTGATGACAACACTAATCCTGAAAAGGAAGGCAGAAACGGTAAGAGAAGAGAATCAGAATCAACAGGAAAAGGAAAAAAAGAAGAAGGGACATCACAGAGGGTGTGATAGATTAATCAAAACAATCACAAATTAGAAAAAGACAAAACCTTTGGCAACCTAATTAGATGGAGGGATTGAGTGAGAATGTGGAAGCAAGTAGCACATGCACACTCACAAATGTCATTACGAAACAGTGGAAGTACAAACTGAAATGCGAGGGAGCGAAAGAAGTTGGTAAACGATTTATAGAAAGAATTCAATCAGCCAAGGTAATAAGTGTTAAATTCATTCTGAAGGTGTAAGTTTTTTTCGATGTGAAAGTCTAAAAAATGTGGACTGATAATACAAATGCTATACCGTAATGGCTCTAATAGACGTGACGTTCACTTTGAGCCAATTCATCTCGGTTGCCATGAAAGATATCAACAAATTGGGTGGTACAAATGTTGAGAACTTTCACGTGAGAACTGCTACAAATGAGAACTCCACAAATGAGAACTCGTACGAAATGAGAACTCGTACAAGATGAGAACTGGCGGAATAAAAACTGGTAACATGAGAACTGCTACAAATGAGAACTAGACAAAAGAGAACTTGTTTACCGGCTCTAATTCGTAGTCCAGGATCTGACTTATTTGGAAAAATAGTTTCGAAACGATCTAGTTCTTCATATTACTTCAAAAATTTCCAAATATTTTTGTTTTAACATGTTTCCAGCTAGTTTTTTGAGTTCTCATGTGTAGCAGTTATTATTTGAACGGTTCACATTCATAGCAGTTCTTATTTTACAAGGTCTCATTCGTACAAGTTCTCATTTTGTAAGAGTTCTCATTTGTGGATTTCTTATTTGTAGCATTTCTCACGGGAAAATTTCTCACCTTTTGTACCACCACAATTTGTTAACAGATAACATGTTGGTGATATTATGATAATCATTTTATCCGTAGACCACTTTTTGTTATCTGTCAGAAGAACCGAGACAATTAAGCTCAAAGTAGGGTGGACTTCCATTAGAACTAATACGGTAGTAATGTGTCTTAAAAGCTCCCGATTGAGACTTGTAATTTGGGCACATGGGAAAAATTGACTCCGCGTCACTTCGAAACCGCGACACTTTGAAACCGTAGTAATGCAGGCGAATGGATAAATTTCTGACTACAAAAACAATTTTAGGATTTTCAAATATGCTTTTTCTGATAGAACACATTCTAAAAATTAAAAAATTCAAGATTTTATCTTCTTTCGGGAGCATCAAAGTTAAGATTTTTTTGATTTTCAGAATGTGTTCTATCAGAAAACGAATGTCTGAAAATCCTAAAATTGTTTTTGTAGTCTGAAATTTACCCACTCGCCTGCATTACCGTGGTTTCGAACCGGTTTTGAAATGACTGGTTTCGAAGTGACGTGGAGCCGAAAAATTATTGTTTTTCTCTGGAAAATCTAGGTGATCGGCAATTTTAAGAATTTTTTTTTTGGTTGAACACAAATGTTTTAAATTCTCTGATAGAAGCCCACCCTACACGCTCACTGTGAGCTTAATTATCTCGGTTTTTTTTAGAAGATATCGAAAACTTGTCAACAAAAAAAATGTTTTTCGTAATATTCCCAACATTTTGACAGTTGACAAATTTTTGATATCTGTTGAAATAACCAAGATAATTGAGTTCTACGAGCATGCATAGGGCGAGCTTCTATCAGATCATTTACGGTGTGTTTAATAAAAGTAGAAACATGAAACATTACGAATTTTTGTATATTATTGATACACCCCTATACTACTAAACTCTCTTAAAACACATCGGATCATCACGAGATCTGGAAATTTCGTTTATAGTTCAACATTTCCAGTCTTCAATTACAGCTGCTCTGCAACATTTATCCACACTAATAAACAAGGTGGATTTTGATGTTGATCTTGTTAAACTTAATTGCAGGTTGAAAACGATTAAAAACAAAAACAAGAAAAAGAAAGCTATGAGCCCAACGTTCCTAGTACGAAACGACGTCTAACGTGTACCTGAGAAGACAAACAGAAGAAAAAGTTTGAGGTGTGGGCACTAATAGAATAATGGATGAGGTATCCAGACGGCGTATGGCGTCAGAACTCGACGGAGATTACGTTACAAGCGTTTTTCATTATTTCTGTTTCAAGGGGAATGTGGGATTTGCCAACTTACACACACACACCAGATCCTTGATTGTGATGTATACTTATAGAAATATTTGGACGAGAGGTAGTGGGGGAAGAAAGCGATGTGAGAAGGAAGAAAACGAGGGAAAGAGGAGCTCTCACTCGTTTTCCGACTCTAATCAGAGACAACCCAAAATGGGCGGAGCCACCTCTCGCCTCTTCTATTGTCACCCTGCCTCTCCTATGGAGATGTGTGGTGAGTGTAGTCATGGAGACTAGTCACACCTTGTTCTCCGCTGGCGCGATTCGCAAGGAAGACCACACGAAATTTTTTACGAAGCAGTCAGAGAAGAAGACGAAAACAAACGTAGCGAAGGAGCCGAAACCTCAGCTTTTTATCTTTCAGACTAGTTGTGAGGTTTAGAAAGAAGGTGAATAAGAAGAATTGATCTGGGAAAGCAATTAGAAGTGGATGATGATGTCTAGGTCTCCAAGGGAGTATACTAGTCGAGCATCGGACTAGACAAACATAAAGGAATTCGGAGTTTCGAATATCTAGACAAAACAAGATAAAATTACTGTAAAGTTGTCCCAGGGCGATTTGAGGGGAGATAGAACAATGTGTAATTTCTCGATAAAAATTGTAATTGGCAAAACAGTGGAAAACGCCAGACGTACCTGCTCTCGGAAGATCAAAAATTTAGTATCACATGATTCGATATTCGGGACTATCAAGAAAAGAAATCTTTCTAAACTTAAAAAAAGTGTTTCTATAGGTTACTGTAAAACCTGAGGCCGTATTCATGAACATTTACCTAGGTAAGTGCATTTACCAAGGAAAATATTTACCAAAGGAAAATATTACGTTTACTTTTTGAAATTTCTAATGGAAAAATAGATTTACACATTGGAAAATAGCATGATTGGTATTCATGAAAATTATTTTCCTATTGGTAAAGGATTTACTCACTTGATTTTATTTACCAACGTTGGGGGTATGAAAATAAGATTCTCCTTACTGTTTTGATGAATTTTAAGATGTTAAAGTTGAAATTAGGAAACTGGAATTTTGAATTTTAATGAAACTGAGAATAATATAAAGACAGATACGATATTAACATAAAAATAATGGAAAAATAAACTTTAAAAAATTGAAATCCCCAAAAAATCACTTCCAAAATTGTTGAAATTTCAAAAGTAGTACTTCTCTGACAACTTTCAGACCGTTCCCGATTTATGTTTTAATGTTTGACCAACACTAAATTATCTCAATGTTTCATTTTTCCTGACATTTTCTAGAGGTGAGACATAACTGGCCATGAGTCAATGCAACTATTTGTATCATTTCCAAAGAGAATGAAATAGTCGAAGGGCCCCAGACTGTCGAGTTTGAGCTAATTTTTCTCGGGCCACATGCAAGGTATCAAAAATTTCGCCAACAGATAAAATATTTGAGATGTTATGATACAAAATTTATCAGTGAACTACTTTTTGGTATCTGTCAGAGGAACTCTCTCTCTCTCTCTCTCTCTCTCTCTCTCTCTC